CTTTCCAGGTAAGTTTTTTTTTTTTTTTTTGGGGGGCATTTACATGCATCCACCCATTTTTATGTATTTACATATCGAACACTTTAACTTTGTTTTGTTTAGACCAACCCCCTTTTCATGTACATTTAAGGTGGCATATATGTGAAAATTAAAGTTTAGTTGTTAGATATGTAAATACATAGGAATTAAGTGCTATTTATTAATCAAGAATTGGATTAATATTGTCTATGTTGGGGAAATGTATAATCAAACACTTCTGCTCCTACTAGGCAATAGAACTCATGTTCGAAGCATTAGTTTGGTTAAATAGGAAATCAAGTTAAGCAATCGACCTGTTTTTTATTTTGTTATTGTTAATTGTTGCTTTAGTTATTAATAAAGTTTTTAGCTTTACACATAACATAAAGTTAATTGTTGCTTTAGTTATTTATAAGTAGTTACACTGTAGGCAGCTTGTGTCCATAATTCATGGCTTGCGAACTATTTTTTATAATGCTGTTGTATATACGTGTTATGCAAAATTTGTAATTTATTTAATGCTTAAAAACAAGTCCTTATGCTTACATCATGCAAGAATACTTGGTTAATTTGATTTTGAAATGCATATCTGACTATTCTAAAGCCTCAACTCTGCAAGCTCAAGGTGCATTTGACAAAGGCCTAATTACATTCATCCATAATCGTAGCGGGCTTGCTCGGGTCAATCTCTTCGGCTAGAAGAATGCTCGCCTCTTTTTTGCTCACCAAATCAACAGGAGCTACTTTCCCGCACTCATCTCAAACTAGCAATTTCATCAGCAGTTCATCATTCCTTCTAGATGTCTTATGACCTCATATATCCAGTCAGCAACTCCTAATCACTCGATTGTTAATGTCTATCTATTGGAATTTTGATTTATATGTTCATGTGTCTGTAACTGTTTTATTATATATTTTCTAATCATTTGTATATAAAGGTTAAGATATAGCTTCTTGTGAGTGCTTAAATCCCTTCAAATATATGGTGGAAGAGTGGTTTTAGAGGATGTGAGTCATTATAAGCATTTTATGTTGGCAATAAAATTCCAAAACTCCTTTATTTCTTTGTTTCTTCATCTCTTTCTCTTCATCTCTCATTTTCTCTCTCTACTTTTTTTTTTTTCTTTTTTCGTTTAATATCTAAAATCCTATTAGACTTGCAAGTAAGATTTCTGTGGTGCTGTTGACAGACTAGATCTTATATCTTGAAGATACGAAGAATATGGATAATATAAAAAACTAAAAACCAATAATTCGTAACCAATAAGCAACGCAAAAACTAGCAAAGTTGGAGGAGAAAATCACAAGGATAAATCAAGGAGCTTGACATGGATTCTCAATTTCTCATATTTGTTTCAAGAATGAGTACTCTAGGAGGCTCGTTAGATTCTGTAGTTTAAAATGAACTGTCAAGCATATGTGCACTAACCTCTATATCAATTATAAATAGAACCTCCTACCCTGGCAGCGATGTCTAGAGTCCACCCCTTCACCCTAGTGAGTCGAAAGGCAGAGGCCATTGCTGATAAGCCATTCTATAGGGATGCCACGGCAGCAAAAACCATGGCATGATCCTATAGGGTCCAACATAAGTTATGTTGACGTGAATAGTCAAAATTGGATTCCAAGTCAATGAAAATCATATTGAACATGTGGCTTTACTTGCATGAATTAGATTTACAGAATAAGTTAATTTGAAGCACCTAATTGTGTTATCAGACTCGCAACTTTGAGTGAATCAGACGAACCTGTAAAATAAAGTTAAAAAACAGATATTATAAAGATTTATAAATTTATCAACTCATTGACATCCTTTTAAAATAGGACGCAATGGAGAAAAAGGATTCATGTAGCCAACCCCATGTAGTGGGATTAAGGCTTTGTTGTTGTTGTTGTATTGTCATCCTTTTTAAATTAGGGAATGTTAACGAGCTGCAAACCATACAGTTATTTCGCTTTAAAGAGGTGGAAGTGATAAGGATTTAGGTAATAATTTCGGCTAGTTAGGTGGACCCATTAATTATCTAAAGTTTTTAAAAGTTCTAACTTCTTTAAAAAACCTACAAAATCTTTTGTCCCCCAATACTTCATAGGAGTTTGAGTTGTTCAAAAAGTTTTGATATTTTTTCTCTGTCACCTTTATATTTGTATGTGCAAGATACTCCTATTGAGTTGAAACCTTTTCTTAAAGATTTTCTTACATTGCGCTTAATGCCTATGCATTTGTTATCTAAAACCTCCTTTTTTACGTATATGTCTTCTTCCCTATAAATTAAAAGTTGTATTTCATTTTTTTTTAATTAAAATAATGATATTTTTTTTATGTGATATAAACAATTTGAGTGATAGAAATATCAAAAATAAAATTTAGATGTTAGACGTATTGCTTCATGAATTGGAAGGTGTATACTATTTTATGGTTAAAAATTTTCTAAGGTGTTATAAAACTATAAAATTATCTTTCAGAAGGAATTTAGCCATGACCCAATGAGACTAAATTTTTATTATATCCGAATGAAAGCGGGTTCATCAGAGTTCGCTTCCACCACAATGGAGGCTTTGATGAAATTATGAATGCGACAATGTCATCGCTTTCTGCCGTACATTCTGTGTTAGATACATAGAAATATCTGATTTCACTCGTCTGTTCAGTGCTTCTCTCATATTTTTAGAGGTGTATTCAAACTCACATATTTGAATGTTACTTCTAAATAGAAAATTTTAACAACAAAACATCATCAAATCAAGCCCACCGTCTCTTACATATGAAATCAGTACAAATAAATTGGTGGTATTTTAATAATATTAATGATATTTTACATCATAATATCATCAATACTATCTAAATATCATTAAATTTATATTTAATTATATCTATTTTATTCTTAAGTAATATTTTTTTTTCTTTGAGAATAGGGGTGTCGTTTATATTTCGAGCTCAAAAAGTGTGTTCGTGTTCGGCTCGTTTGCTT